TGTAGTTCTTTACGTCGCTGTTCAGAGACCAACATTTCTTGTTCAGTCAACTACTTACGTCCAGCCCCACCGCTGCAAATCTTCGTCTTAAAATCGATCAAAAGTCAGTTTTCATGATACTTTCGTAATCGTAATATATCGAATGAGTATCAGTTTACCTTGTAGGAGTTGTTAGAGTTGGTACTTCAAATACTTGATAATTTCTTCTTTCACTTTTCTGATGTTTTAGGCCGACTGTCAGTCAATATTCAAGAATGCGATGTGCTGCTTCTGGAGCAGTGATAATGCGACTGGGTTGATAATTTTTGATTTCTTTGTTGTGAAGCGTTATTTGTTTACTCTATATTGTTGTGTTGTACTCGGCATTGTTGTGTTCCACAACAATGCCGAGTAAACAAATATCTGTTGACATTGTTGATGACGTAATTTATTGATGACAACGAGGAATCACAAATTTTTATAGTAAAAAAAGATGCATGTCCAGTGTTTAATATATGTTTTGCGTATGCTGAGTGATCTTTGTTGTGTTTAATGGCTGGACTGGAATAATAAATACATACTTAGTTCAACACAAACATGACGCATCTAAGCTACAAATCTTATTTTTATATATGACTGGTGATTAGATACCAAAATATATTCTCCAGTCTAAAGCAAAAGCACGCCAAGGCAACCGCCGAGGCTAAATGGCCAGTCCAGCGGGCGCCAAACCAACTCTGCTCCCCGAGCCTCAGCGGGCAACCATAAATCCACCGGCTCCACTGCGAACAAAGTGTCCGCCAACAGTGGTTTCCACCCTGACGTCCTCCTCTGGCGACTTGAGACACGGGGGAGTTCCGCGGGACGCCTTCTTGTACCTCCATCCTTTGTTCTCGTGAGAGGCCCCATATTTAGTAGGTAGCGGTGCAGAGGAATCCACTCCAGTGGTCTCTCCTATAACAGGTCGCCCGGCCACTACCCCGGCGTACAGAAAGGGGTTCACTCCTGCGTTTATGTAGAAATACGCAAACAGAAACTCTTGCTTGATCTATTGACCGGACTTCCCAACCACAGCTCCTTACACACACACACATCGCTGCCCCTGACATCCTGTAGATGTCAAGTACATCGTCTCACCGGTGTATCTAACAGTCTGTAGTGCACTTAGCTCAGATCACCTGCCTATTCTGATCTATACCACATGCTGACCAGACGCCGGTGACTCCGCCATAAATTTTTGATTGGTTGTTCCCTGAAGACAGTCATCTTCATATTCGTGGCCATGTGAACCCTAATCTTACCTATCCGTGTATTATCTACACATGGAAATGTGTACGTGTTTAATAAAGACAAGAGTATTCTTCAGGGACGGACAAGACTTATCTTACACAGAATTTTGGCCGAAACACTTCAAATTAGATGAGTATAATAAAACGGATCTTACGAAAATTTGGTGTGAGAATTGGAATATAAGGGACTGGCTTTGAATCCTATCCGATGGAGGCATTTGGAATTAGCCGCGTTGAAACTTAAGGTTTGGCCTGCAGAACATTGATTGCCAGATTCAATGTGATACCAATATTCTCGTAATTACGTCGACGTTGGTTTTGTGGAACACCTGTGGGTATCAACACATATGCACATCTGCTTAATTAGATAATCAATTGTTCGGCATAGGATCTTCTGTGCAAAGGTAAGTATCGCTTAGCTGGTCAAGATATTCCTCGCCCTTATAAGACTGTTAATTACCGTGTAAGATTTGAGGTTTTCACAGCGGTGAGTATAAAGATTTCCGTCTTCTGGGTTGTTGCTCTGTGTAGTCTGGTCGATGTTTACCAACGTTTCAGAGGTCATACTGCCTCCATCATCAGGGCGATGAGTATGACGATTTCTGTCTTCTGGGTCGTTGCGCTGTGTAGTCTGGTCGATGTTTACCAACGTTTCAGAGGTCATACTGCCTCCATCATCAGGGCGATGAGTATGACGATTTCTGTCTTCTGGGTCGTTGCGCTGTGTAGTCTGGTCGATGTTTACCAACGTTTCAGAGGTCATACTGCCTCCATCATCAGGGCGATGAGTATGACGATTTCTGTCTTCTGGGTCGTTGCGCTGTGTAGTCTGGTCGATGTTTACCAACGTTTCAGAGGTCATACTGCCTCCATCATCAGGGCGATGAGTATGACGATTTCTGTCTTCTGGGTCGTTGCGCTGTGTAGTCTGGTCGATGTTTACCAACGTTTCAGAGGTCATACTGCCTCCATCATCAGGGCGATGAGTATGACGATTTCTGTCTTCTGGGTCGTTGCGCTGTGTAGTCTGGTCGATGTTTACCAACGTTTCAGAGGTCATACTGCCTCCATCATCAGGGCGATGAGTATGACGATTTCTGTCTTCTGGGTCGTTGCGCTGTGTAGTCTGGTCGATGTTTACCAACGTTTCAGAGGTCATACTGCCTCCATCATCAGGGCGATGAGTATGACGATTTCTGTCTTCTGGGTCGTTGCGCTGTGTAGTCTGGTCGATGTTTACCAACGTTTCAGAGGTCATACTGCCTCCATCATCAGGGCGATGAGTATGACGATTTCTGTCTTCTGGGTCGTTGCGCTGTGTAGTCTGGTCGATGTTTACCAACGTTTCAGAGGTCATACTGCCTCCATCATCAGGGCGATGAGTATGACGATTTCTGTCTTCTGGGTCGTTGCGCTGTGTAGTCTGGTCGATGTTTACCAACGTTTCAGAGGTCATACTGCCTCCATCATCAGGGCGATGAGTATGACGATTTCTGTCTTCTGGGTCGTTGCGCTGTGTAGTCTGGTCGATGTTAACCAACGTTGCAGAGGTCATACTGCCTCCGTCATCAGGGCGGTGAATGTACCAATTGGGTGGGTCAATTGGCACATTCATCGTCCTTCATTTGTCTCCTTCCTTAACTTTTAATTGGAAATTCATATAAGTAATTGTTTCTGCCCAAAACACAACATACTGTAAATAACATAATTACAATGTATGGGTTTCGATATTTTATATATTTGACATTTTACTGTTTACAATAAGTTGTTCTTTCAAACAGCGTAGTTTACGATCATAGTTCGGGCTTCAAGATGGAGATATGTGTCAGAAATATGTCACCCAGTTAATAACATGAAGACATCTAGTAAATGAGAGTACGAATATATGAATGTACATAGAATTGTGTGGAGACGGAAATTTACCTTTATAAAAAGTTTATTTCTCCTAAAAATAATAATTTTCTAACTTTTGTGAATGGGCCACATTTCGTTATATGTTTTAGCTTCATTACAAAATCGAAAACGGTATAGAATTCACATAATTCAGGTTACAAAACCCACTGATTCACAAACTAGGCACCATGTCCCATGGGGTTACGAGGAGGGGACCGCGAGAGAAAATACATTTTATAATGTAAAGTTCAGGTGAAAAACAAAATTTTAGCTGTATTTAATAGTGTTTCGTTGACATCAATTAAAATTTATGATCTAAATTTTAAAAAGAAATTAGAGCAGTTTTCAATATTTTCGGTATTTTCCACCGCCGAAAAAAAGCATCGTGCAGCAATACCTGTATCCTTAAATAAATAAAGAAAACTATTTTGTAATAAATACGCAACCGAATGGTGTAACGCTAAATTCTTTGTATCACAAGACTGCCTGTTTTTTTTTTGTTTTTTTTTTAAATTTTTGTGAGTTAATTTTTTGTACGCTTTATCAGAAATGTAAACTAATATATCTTTTCCCCCGAATTTAATTTAAATGTTTAGTTCATTTATTTCCTTTAACTTCAAAAAAAATTGACTACTACCACCACGCAAATAGCAGTGTGCGATGTTAAGATTCAGCCTATGATAAAACGTGCAAGAACATATCCACATGATACAGACACTCAAGTGATAATCTCAAGTCTTAAGCGCTGTTGCTACATCTCGTTTAACGTTACCCCCTCCCGCTTTCCATATTTTTCGTTCTTGAACACAATAAAAAAAATACAACAAATTTCTCACGTGTTACAAAGCGAAAGTCCTAGTTCTGATCCAAACAAAATAAATTGAATTTCATGGAGTGTCATACGAAATAATGTTGCAGCTGACTGGTTAACGCTTCTGTTTCATATTTGAGAGTTCCCGGGTTCAAATCTCGGGCACGAGGCTGGTCATACAGTCCGCAGACCAGGAGGAAATGCCTACTAGGAATTCGATATTCGCGCATGCGCAAGATTTCGCGGTGAGTGACGACCCATCCTAAAAGCATTCGTTCCACAATCACTGAACGCACAACAGACAACAATCTTTCATGTGTTTTAATGGGTACAGCTTTAAGATTACCTCACAGTGGCACAGTGATTTAATCTAGAATATTATCGCAACACCCGCAGAACACATTAAAAGTGCGCTCACTAGGCGCTACTCTTAACTGCTTGATGTTTTCAGTCTGTGTATAGTAGCCTTAAACTCTGACGTATCACACTTCCCACCAATAGCAGCCCTCTAGCCCACTTGGTAGTAAACATCACCCTTGCACCGCCCTAGAAACGACTTCCCCTCGCATGAATTTTCTCCTGGTCTGTGGACAGTAGGCAGGTGCCGGGATATTACGTTAAATTTGTCCACGATCACTTCCGTCCATATTTTTTCCAATTAATCATTCATTAATAATCCCATCTGACATCGTCGTTAAGCGACTGGGTAGGGGGAGGGTTGGAGATAACTTTGTTTTAAGGATTCCACGAGTGTGGAGAATGGGCCACGCCCCTTCCAAACCAGTATTCACTAGCATCAGTATTAAAAGCACGGAATAGCACGCAAGTGTCACTCAGAGTTGATCCAGCATGGTCTACAGTAGGTTGGTTTTGTTTGTTGGCATCTGCACTGTAATCTAGCAAAGCTAGTTGCGAAATTACTCCCACTGGAAGGAGAGAGTCAGGGAGGTTGGTAGAAGCAAGTTCAGTCTAGCTTCCTTGTTGCAGCTGTGCGGTAGACTGTTGAGCGTGGTGTGTCTGGTCCCGAGGATATCGGTCAGTGACGTCAGAACCTTTGTCTGGTGTGCCTCTCCATCAGGCCCCACGATATAAGCAGGTAATTCCGCCGACAAGCTTTTTAAACTAATGTCGACTTTATATTTCGTCTTCATCATAGAAGCATGAAGGGAGGATACATCTTCCCTTCAAGCATTTCCAACATGTATTGACGTTTATCTCCTGCAGATACAAATGCAACGCTACGGAACTAATAATCTCCTAATATAAAAGCAGTTTAGCCGTGTACAGTCACTGTCTTGGCCGCTCGAATACAGGCATACCTCGGAGATATTGCGGGTTAGGTTCCAGACCGCCGCAATAAAGCGAGTCACACTAATTTTTTGGTTTCCCAGTGCGTATAAAAGTTATGTTTACACTATATTGTAGTCTATTAAGTGTGCAATAGCATTATGTCTACAAAAACATTGCGAGAATTACCAAAATGTGACACAGACACGAAGTGAGCACGTGCTGTTGGAAAAATGGCGCTGATAGATTTGCTCGACGCAGGGTTGCCACAAACCTTCAATTCGTAAAAAAACGCAATATCTGCGAAGCGAAATAAAACGAGGTATGTCTGTATTGGGTTAATGGGTTCGGAACTCACTCGAAGACATGGATATGTGTCTTGAGTTGTGTTGGAGCTCGACCAAGGAGTCTTATAGCTAATGTTGAAAAATGTTCAGAAACATTCTGTTAAAAGAGGTCGTGACTTAGAGGACCACAGCGCCTGACATAACTACTCTGAAAAAAATAATTTAAAGCTGTGTTTACTTTATACCATGCCAAGTTTTTGTACGATGAAAATTCTGGTTAATGCAAAGTCCTATGGATACCTTTAAGTGTAAAATTTCATAAAAATCAATTCACTGTAACTGTGTTCAGTCAACATCCACTCCATGAAATGACCGTTCACAAAACTTTTCCACAAGACTTTGAGACTTCACTTATCGAATGCAATGATTCGTCAAGAACGAAGTTTACAGGTACCGTTTCTTATTCGTCACGGAACTAACTTGTTTTTTTTTGTCAATATTATGTAATAGAATCGCTTGTTCAAGTGATGTATTTATCAGTATCGCAGACTACTGGATAGAAAATCTTATGTGTTATCTTCGTGAATTCTGTGTAATACATTATTGCAACGAACAGTTAGTAGCTGAACCTCTTGCTTCGAATTCAGAAGGTCCCGCTGTCGATAAGTCGCCTTCAGTCTACCTGAGCTCATAGAATATATTAATAATCCACCAAAATTAAATAATTATCATACACATTATTATAACATTCCTTAAAATGAACCCAGTTGAAAAATCTTAGCGAAGTCACAACTGAATTAATAAAAAATCTGCTATAAATAGATTAAGAATATGAACTTTTATTTGTAGAATGTGGTTAATTTTAATTTTTTTTTTAGACATTTCAACCGTGCTTTTTCATTGTACATGCAAATTTTCTGTTATATCCGCGTATAAAGTATTTGTGTCTGATCCCGGTTATCTATATATACTTTCGTTAATATTCTTAACCGAATCATTCGTGAATCTCAGATATTTGCCTGGAGGGAATGAGGAAATCTACGAAAAAGTCAGGATAGCCTGTCTCCGGGCCGAGATTTGAACCCGAAACCTCCCAAATACGAAGCAGCGGTGTTATGCATTTGATCACGAGATTCGGTCCATTGTATTAAATGTGAGCATTCACAGGATACACCGACATTGGCCACATTTATTTAGGCTTTCCGTGGATTTCCTCCGGCGCAGTATTTCTAGACAGTCCCCGACCGTACGTTAGAACGTGCTACACTCGCCGATCATTATCATATTCTCGACACATTCGTCATACATATGTGGTAGAATGTCTTAAAGTTTAACCTGCCTGTAAGTACATCCATAACCTTGATAGCACTTCAAATAGGCCACGACAGCCTTCGAATCAAATTTTCCAGTGTTATGAAGCAATCATCAGCTGTTATCCGATGATACACGCGCAGAATGTAAAGAATATTCATACGTCATTTTGCATGCATAGTGTCCATTCAATTCACTGGAACACAGCTGGGAGTGCTTGTGATGAAGGACGAATGATGTCGGGGAAGAGGAGACGTGGATTGCATTATGACACCGGGATTCATGGATTAGGCCATATAAATCCGTTTAGCTCAATCGCTTTTAGACACTGCCCAACACAGAAGTTTTTCTTGCCTCTGGACACGATGAAAACTATCAACGTGGCAGTTATATTCTTAACACTGAGATTGTAGATAACAGTGGGATCACAACCTATGGCCCACAGCACGTATTGATGTACCCTCTTTAACCCTTTGAAGCCGAAGATCGTCTGAATATTATTTATGAATTCAGTCCGTACCGCGAAGAAAACACTACACCTCACCTTTACGAAAATCAGCTGGTTAACCCTTTGAAGCCGAAGCTTGTCTTCATAATATTTACGAATCCAGACCGTACCGCGAAGAAAACACTTCACTTAACCATTAGAAGTCGAATCAGGCGGTACCACATAAGATTTAACAAAAGAACATCCCGGTCAAAGCCTTAACGTCTTAGTAAATACTTACAGCATTGGCTGTATCTGGGCCCCGTAATTAGGTGTTACGATGAGATTTATCCTGAAACGGAAACTGAAAATTTGTGTCGTGCAACAAAGATTCGACGAATTAAAGATACTTCTTAATCAACTTAGATACAAAGCAAAATAATTTTAAAGTTTCTCTATAGCACTGATGAGATTAGTGATACAAGGGACATCGCTGTAGCATCAATCGCTAATCGAGGCATAACAGAATGTTTTGACGTGGTCGAAGAACTAACTTGTCTTAAAAGTTTGCATGGTACCAACATAAGAGAAGATCTTCTTTAAAATCTTGTCATTAGAATTTATAAATTCTTTAGAAATATGCCAGACTTCAAATACAGTGGATTCTGGTTAATTGGGACACATCGGGACTAGAAAACTTTGACCCAATTAAGCGGCTGCCCCAATTATGCGAAGTTTCACGTAAAAAGTTAAAAATGTTTAAAACAAAAGGCAAACTCCCGTTTATTGAGATGATTTATTGAGCAACATACTGTTAATGAATTCTGGAACAAATGGTACAGATCAGAGAAAAATATTTACGTTAAAAACAATTTCAATTTAATGTATCAAACACGCATGTATGTAGTTCTTAACAGTTAATGATGTTGGAGGAATTTATCGAGTGTGCCCTGCCGTGTTCTCCTGATTGGCTGCAACTGAACAAAATCAGCGCAGGTATCTGGTGCAGATATGGAACTGCCTTCATCGCCTTCCTGCATGAAGTAGGATCGTAATCCAGCAACGGTTAGTCACTCGCTCAAGCTCGGGTGTGTCGTCCTCATCACCTTCCTGGTCTTCTGATGTCTTTTGGTGTTTTGCTGCAATTTCTTCAACAATTGCGTCCTATAATCTTCATTTTCTTAGTAACATTGAAAACTGTTGTCGATGCATGCAAACTTTTCGTAGTTTCTGACGTGTTGCATTTCCAAAATGGCGTCATTTTCACTATCGGTCGTTTCTGGCATCTCCATGCCTGGATGCTTAAAACCACAGCGAGCGAAGTCTCGCTGCTTATTGCTACACTGTCTGAATACGCACATGTTCGTTACTGAGTGAATCGGCGATGATTCACTGACTCCTCCACGCCACACGCCACAAGCGCGCCATCCAACATTCACTGTCCCGATTAAACGGCACGGCGTCCCAACTAAGCGGAACAAATTCCGGTTATTTTCTCGATTTCTCCCAAATAAACGGCTGCCCAGATTAACCGGAATGTATTGTACTTGTTAACGACAACTCTCTCTTCTCTTACGAATTTCTGCCCAGAACTTCGCAATGCGTTCCTCATCAGACTCCTTGATTTGGTCGTCCTAATAATAGAGGCTAGTCAGAACTGTAGTAGCCACGGTGGTCTAGCGGTTAGAACGCTGGCCTTGTAATCCTGGGGTCTCGGGTTCGATTCCCGGCGGTGCCCGAATTTATAACTTGTGTTGGGCAAGGCCGTGGTCTAGGCAACACGGAGTTTTCCTCCGGGGGCTTCCCCGGTTTCTCCGTGGCATCCCAACAATTACTCCATTCACACACAGAAGAAGGCAATGGCAAACCACTTCTGGAACATCTGCCAAGAACGTATATGAACAGGTCCCAGTCCGAGAAAAGGATGGAAGGATCCTGTTCATATGGACCTGTCGTCAGACAGAACACTACAAATAAAAGTCAGAAATGTGTTCTTTTTTAAATTAAATGTAAGTGGCTTTCTTTTTGCAGGTAGGTGATTATTTATTTAGTGGTATTGTTAGGTATCCGACTAGCAATTCCTAAGATTGACAAGAAACTACCTCGTTACCTTACCCTGAGCCTGTATGCAGTCTGCACTCTTATCACCGATTTATGTAGAGCTGTTTAATGGTGTCATAAAGGCTTACGCCGTGGTTTCTATCACTGAGATATCGATTGCATTTCTCGCCTTCCCACGTGTATTATATGTTCCATTAATCTCCTCAAACGTCCTAAAGATGTGATAAAGGTTCAGAGTTCTGGTGTTGAAATGTAAGATGCTGATCGTCCTTTTTTAACTAATAAATTTGTTCCCTTAAATGTCTCTGACAACTGTTTGAAGATGTATGACGTGATGATGGTAATCTGACCTTTGCTAGGACATTCGAGCGATACTGAAACTCAAAGACATACAGACTTGGAGGAGAGAGTTTCCCGCACGAACCAGGCGGGAAGGTGCTAATCATGTTATTTACATTCTTCCTACCTTAGGTCAAAGGACAAACAAATACATGTCACAAGTTGTAAAGAAGTAGCTTAGGTGGTCTGATGCAGTTATTTCAACGAAAGGTTTATTTTTCGGTATGTGTGTCCAAAGCCTTTTGACGTAAATTCGTCTATACGGATGGGTCATTCGGCAAAAAAGTGAAAGGAAAATGTGTAACGAAAATGTGTAAGATCCGTATCAACAAATCGACAACAATGGTTACCTAAGGAACGTCGTGTTTACTCGGCATTGTTGTT